CACTGGTTCCAGAGGAGGCGAAGAGGGTGGGCGCCGTCCCAAAGAAATCAGGGTTCTGTCCCCCCGGTCACCTCACGGCTCGCTCCCCTCGACACTTCCGGGCTAGCGTTTATCTTCTTGTCTCTCAGCTACCTGCTGCTTGTCGTCGCTCTAGGGGCACGTTGGTAAGATGAAAGGTGGGTCTGTCATGTTTTCTTGGTGACTGTGGCATCCCTGCCCCTAACACGATGCCTCGTACATCGCAGGTACTCAGGACTGCAGAAGGGGTGCGGCTTGTCCACTATGAGGAACAGAGACACGTCTGCCTTGTTAGTGAAGCTGCCTTCTTTATTAAACGGGCAACACACTTAACCTGGATTTGTATTTATTTAGCCATTGAACAATACTTTTCTGAGCCTCTAATCAGGCTCGGTACTAGTTCTAGGTGCCAGAGATGGTGCTGGGCTGAGAGACATGGTCTTTCACTGGGTTCATAATAAATTCCTGGCAGCAGATCTAAGCCTGGCTGGGCTCACCTTGCTTTTTCCTCCAGATGAGTTTAATCCCAGGCTTTTTACAGTAAGTGTTTAATAAATCTCAGCTGAGCCTCTGGTTGAAACAAGGGCAGACTGGGGATTTTAAATATCCTCATTATCATCCCAATTTCCTCTTTAGAGATGCTACGTGGTCACGCTCCCCTTTGAAGTTTTATAGCCCCTAAGAAGCGAAGGATTGAATAATCAGGGCTGGATATAAATTCTAACTCCCTTTCCTGGAATCTTTGCAACACTCTGTACTGTCTTCCTTTGAACGTTGGATATTGCAGAAAGGTATGCAGAACAGCTTTTTGGCGTGAGCTGAGTTACCAAGCATGACGCAGCTTTCCCGGCCCCAGGATCTTAGATGTAAGGTCTGGTGTGGCGTGAAAGCCCCCAGCTGCCATCCTCTCTGTACGGATTTCCCAAAGACATTCTCCCTCCACCCACTGGCTGAGAAAATAGTTCACTTCCAAGTAATGACTCACTTTGTAATGGGTGCCCAGGTCTTAATTTATAAAGGAGGCTGCATGGTGACATGGAGAGGCTAAAGCCATTGGAAGATTTTGTTACTTGCAGTTCCATTTATTTAAAACCTTATCTATAGAGGGAAGGCGGGGGAGGGTGGGTGGGAAGAGATCAACCAAAGACCTTGGATGCATATATGTGTGCCCATGGACAGACAATATTTTAAGGGGGTTAATGGGGGAAAATGGGGACATATGTAATACTTTCAACAATAAAGAATTATTTAAAAAAAAAATAAAAACTTATCTATGCCTGGCCGGTGTGGCTCAGTGGTTGAGCATCAACCTATGAACCAGCAGGTCATGGTTCAATTCCTGGTCAGGGCACATGCCTGGTTGCGGGGGCTCGATCCCCAGTAGGGGGTGTGCAGGAGGCAGCCGATCAATGATTCTCTCTCATCATTGATGGTTCTCTCTCTCCCTCTCCCTTCCTCTCTGAAATCAATAAGAAGATATAAAAATAAATAAGTAAATAAAACATTATCTGTTCACTGCCTTTCTTGTTTTTTAAAAAATATATTTTATTGATTTTTTTACAGAGAGGAAGGGAGAGGGATAGAGAGTTAGAAACATTGATGAGAAACATCGATCGGCTGCCTCCTGCACACCCCCTACTGGGGATGTGCCTGCAACCAAGGCACATGCCCTTGAATGGAATCGAACCTGGGACCCTTCAGTCCGCAGGCCGACGCTCTATCCACTGAGCCAAACCGGTTAGGGCAGCGGTTCTCAACCTGTGGGTCGTGACCCCTTTGGGGGTCGAACGACCCTTTCACAGGGGTTACCTAAGACCATCAGAAAACACATATATAATTACATATTGTTTTTGTGATTAATCACTATGCTTTAATTATGTTCAATTTTTAACAATGAAAATACATCCTGCATACCAGATATTTACATTATGATTCATAACAGTAGCAAAATTACAGTTATGAAGTAGCAACGAAAATAACTTTATGGTTGGAGGTCACCACAACATGAGGAACTGTATTAAAGGGTCGCGGCATTAGAAAGGTTGAGAACCACTGGGTTAGGGCATGCCTTTCTTGTTTTTAAATTGAATTTATTGGGGTGACATTGGCTGATAAAAATCACACAAGTTTCAGGCGTACAATTCTACAACACATCACCTGTATATTGTGTGTTTACCACCGCAAGTCACTGAACTAAAACACTACCTAAGTTGTATACGAAATTCCTATGCAAATAGGAAGCTATTTCTGGGTCCTTACACTGTTCTCTGGACCTATTTGACTGTCCTTTTGTTGATAACTTGTTGTATGGGTGTAGAGGAAGGACACGAGTTAGGTTTCGGCTGCTCCGTAATTGAATTTTGAATATCCTATCTGTTTGGCGTTCCCCACATGGCCAAAATTCAACCTGCAGTACCCCTTGCTTCGGACAGACATGGATTTGACTTGCTTCTGCCAAACACCAACAAAGAAAGGAGTGAGGTCATCGGAGGCCTGAGCAGAGCCAGTGCGGACGCTGGTGGGGAGTTCCTGGGGCAGAGGCAGCAGGGGCGGAGCCGGCAGGCAGTCCTCCTGGCAGGAGCCTGTGGGTGGATGGTTTTGGCTAGAGCAGCTTCTGAATGTGGCTGGGTGGCTAACACCCTATTCTGGGGTGGGAGTGAGGACCTGCACCTCTGGTGCCTCCAGATTCCCTTCCAGTTTAAACTAGCCAAAGGGTTTCACAACTACTGGTAAGAATCCTGACAGGTAACAAGCAATTTCATATTTTATCTGATACCGGTGTTATTTTTTAAAATATGTTTTTATTGATATCAGAAAGGAAGGGAGAGAGAGATAGAAACACCAATGATGAGAGAGAAATCATTGATCAGCTGCTTCCTGCACGCCCCCTACTGGGGATTGAACCCGCAACCCCGGCATGTGCCCTTGACCGGAATTGAACCAGGGGACCCTTTAGTCTGCAGGCAGACGCTCTGTCCACTGAGCCAAACCGGCGAGGGCCTGATATCTGGTATTCTTAAGGCTAGTCCCCACCCATCTCCTGCTGCTGCCCACTACTTTTTCTTACCTGATTTTTTCCAAATACTTTGCTTTCATAATCTGTGAGGTACTTTAAAAAAAAATCTATTGCTTTCTAATTGAAACTGAACTCAATTTGTATGTTAACTTAGGGAAGGTTGGTATTTTGTTTTCCAAACAAAGAATGCGGCAGTTTTTCATGTCATATTGGTTTCTGTCCTTCAGTAAGACTTCACGGTTTTCACATGGTCTTGTCATTCTTGAAAATTTATTTCTAGATATGATAGATTTCATTGTGATGTAATCGGAATTTCCCCCCACTCCGCCAACCCCCCAATTTCTCTTTTTGGGTGCTTATTCCAATTCAGAAAGCTCTTCGAGTTGTTTTATAAAATATATACCTTTTATTGATTTCAGAGAGGGAGGGAGAGGGAAAGATAGAAACATCAAGGATGAGAATCATTGACTGGCTGCCTCCTGCACGCCCCCCATTGGGGATCAAGCCTGCAACCCGGGCAAGTGCCCTGACAGGGAATCAAACCTCCTGGTTTATAGGTTGACGCTCAGCCACTGAGCCATGCCGGCTGGCCTCTTTTGTTTTTTTGAGTATCAGCCACTCCAGTGTATTCTCTTCCCTGTGCTGGCAGCACTGTAGCTTGTACACAATCAGGAAAAAAAATTTTTTTTGTTATACCAATTTTTCAATGTTCGTGTTAATCCCTCTTGTGGAGGAGAGACTTCCATAAAGTGACCACTGCAGGACCCTGGAGATGGATCCTAGCCGGAACCAAGATTGCTTCCCACACAGCCCGAGCCTGACTGCGGGAACCCTGCCCCCAACGCCCACGCTGGTTCCTGGGGCAGGCCTTTGCCCAGATCTCAGCCAGTGTGTCAGGTATTTCCCCTTATCTGGGCTGGGTCAAGCACCAGGACCCTATCTATCTTGCCTATTCTATAGAATTTTTTAGCGTCTGCCATGTGCCTTGTATGTAAGTTCCTTTAATAAACTCCTGATATAATGATGGAGTTGTCAGCCCCTTTCTTTGTTCTTTAGGCCCTGGGAAATTTTCCCAATACACCTCTAAGACAATGCTGGCTAGCAGGTAACCCTGCCTTGATATGATTTTAATCAGATGACTTTAGTATTTCACTTAAAGTTTAAACAAAAATCTAAGATTTGGATGACTGAATTTTTAAAAAACTTACTTAGCAGTGACATGATCACCTTTTCTGTTTTAATTTTGTGATAAAATGTTAACAGTTTCTGATACGGGCTGACACTTGCACCTTTTGATAATTTCCTGGATTTTATTTGCTAACGACAGAAATGCCTCCTTCCCTCGTTCCAGTCTCAGGCAGGTTTTCTTCCATTTCATTGTTGTGATCATTTCACTTTCGATAAGAAATGGGACTAGTAGCAACTTTTCCTGGTAATCCCATGTATGTATTTACTTACAGAAGATTTAGAAGAGAAATAGATCACCCATACTTCCCCCATCTTGAGTGACTAACAGCTCTGTCTTGCCATGACCCCCCTTGTGGCATTTGTCAGGCGGTCTGCAGACTCTCAACAAACTTCATGAGGAACCTGCCCCGAAGCCGGGTACTTGCTGCTCTTCTGTCTCGTCATCCTCCTTCCCCATGGAAAGGCTGCCCTGTGCTCCACACGACTCCGGGGCACAATCCACGTGCATTCGTCATCCCCAAGTAGCACCATTTCCCAAAACGTCAGTCTGACTTGAGGAGGAGCAGCAGGGAGGCTGCCCCAAGGAAGCTACATGTCACTGGAGACCCTTAGCCAGTTCCGGCACCACGAGGGACCTGGACAAGCTGGGGCATTGAGAGCTATTTTCATCCTTGGCTTTCCCTTTTGGATCCTGCTACCAAACAACAACAACAAAAGTCAAGTTCACCCCCAATATCCCACTGGTAATGTTCTATTTCTTAAGCAGAATGGTGGTTTTAGGTGTTCATTTTATTATGCTTTATAATTTATATACATGTTACATATATTCATTTTAAAGGTTTTGATACAATAAATAAAAAAGGAAAGTACACATATACAAATAAGAATGCCATTATGATGGGGATGACCTTGAATTTGCTTTTTTCTTCAAATTAGCCTGTTCATAAACCTCAATACTGTAATGATTAGTCAACAAACATTTACAATGCACCTCATATACCTGTCTTGATACTAGGGTTAGAAATTACTATCCTGTTAAATTATTTAGAAAGCAGTAATGCCTTTTTAAAAGATTACTTTAAAGATTATTTTACACGCCAGTTTCAATAATTCTTGAAACTAGTTACAATCTCATACTTGTGATAGGCTACTTCTTTCAGCTTTTCTCTGAAATTTAAAGCTTTCAATGAGCAGAAGAAATTTCTCCCAGAATATACTACATATAAATTATTAGCTGCTTCTTAAAGCAGCATCTAAGAGATGTCAAACTTTCCACTCAGTTGGATAAGCTAAAACCTGATCTTAAAAATGATGCTTGGGTACAACCTACCTAGTGTATGTCAATCCTTAGACAGAGACAACTAGCTGTGCCTCACACCCAATTCTCCGCTGCTTCCTCAGTAATGGATCCTGAAATGTTCATTTGGCCAATGACAACACAGAATAAAGACTCGTTTCCATCCCTCTTGGTAGCTAGGAATCACGTGATTAAGTTTGTGTTGATAAGCCTATGTGATGTGAATGATTTGTAAGACCTGTTCTTAAAGGGGGCGGAGATGCTGATAGGACATTTCCAGCTGCTACAACTCTGCAGCCCTGAGCCAGACTTTCCATTCGAGAGAAATAAACTATCTTATTTAAGTTGTTATTGTTGGGGGGCACGGCCAAGCTAACACATAATGCCAAATGAGAGTCAACTCCTTAACCTCAAAGGTTGATACGACTGATGGACATTCTGAGAAGTGCTTAACTCCAAATATTTGACTGGTAAAACCTGCAAGCGCACCTATGGTTTTAGACAGAAACATCCAGAACATCAAAAAGCAATTGATTTTATACTAGCTTAAGATGCAAAATGACTGAGAAGTCCCTCCCCATAAGAGATCTAGAATGAGCAATTTAAACAAAACAAAAATGGCTTTATTTACAATACTCAATGCATTTTACAAATAACATATTTGCATTCCCTAAGTCTTTTGGAAAATAATTCCAGTTTGTGCAATGAGTTTACAGGAAAGACTTAAGACATCTATTAGACATCTTAAACCCAATTTCTAAGTTTTGAAAGACCTTATATTAATAGAGGACAGTTTTTAATGAAGAAAAACTAAACTCTGTAGTTAAATATTGCCCTTCAATATTTTAAAACCAAATACAAACTGGACTAGTCTATGAAATAATACCATTAGATTTGAATGTATTATTTTCACTGCCCCCCCCCAACAGAATGCATGCACAAAGTAAACATGGTAAATTACATTAATGTTTTATTTTAATACTTTTTGGACTCTCTCAACTGTTTCACTTAGTCCAGAGTATAGTTAGATGAGGTTTCCGCCTGGGAAAACCCTAAACCACTACTCCCTGGTCCAGAACAGGGAGGAATTTTCAGTGTGCGGAGACAGAAGGGATTAGGACGATTTTAAAGTAGTTTCTACAGAAGCCTTAATTGCTCCTCAGAACAAGGTGCCCTCCAGGCCAGAGGGATCAGTCATCTCCCTCCTGACAGTTTGGGGAGCAACTAATCCAAGACCCAGGGGACAATCGGCTCCTCTCTCTCCCCCTCCTCCCTGAATCACTACTTGATTTTTTGCTTTCTGAGTTGATGATGGGGAACAGTTCCTGCGTTCAGATTCGAGAAACTCCTTTCATGTCACATAAAGACCTCTGGGACAGGTAAAGAACAAGCAAGAATAATACTGTAATTGCGCAGGAGTTTGCACCTCATGCATGTGAACGAGAATAAACTTACTTTTCCACCTCCACACTTCATTTCTCCTTAAAAGACAGTGTCTTTAACACCTGGCATAAATGGTTGACTGGGAGATACTAAACTGGAGAAACAAAGTCCAACACTTGACATAGCCAACAAAATTCTAGGATAAAGAGATGGTGAGGTAGAGTTGAGAGAGTTCAATTAAGTTTTTTGAGCACACATCTTTTGGCACATCCTCAAATTAGACACCCTACTGAATTCTCCTTTGTCAGACCTTTACAAAGTGCTGGCAACATAGGAATCCTTGGATCTACTTAGGAATCATCTATGTGAAAAGCTAACAGAATAAAGTCATTTGAAGAAATCTATTCCTCGCACGTTAGCATATTTATCCCAATACTGAAGCAAATAAAAACAATGCTATCCATTTGCTGAATTTATTTAAAACAAATCAATTTAGAAATATCATAAACAAAACTTCTGACATGTAAACATACTGCCGTGTTCCTGAAGGACAGGTAAAGAACAAGCAAGAATAATACTGTAATTGCGCAGGAGTTTGCACCTCATGCATGTGAACGAGAATAAACTTACTTTTCCACCTCCACACTTCATTTCTCCTTAAAAGACAGTGTCTTTAACACCTGGCATAAATGGTTGACTGGGAGATACTAAACTGGAGAAACAAAGTCCAACACTTGACATAGCCAACAAAATTCTAGGATAAAGAGATGGTGAGGTAGAGTTGAGAGAGTTCAATTAAGTTTTTTGAGCACACATCTTTTGGCACATCCTCAAATTAGACACCCTACTGAATTCTCCTTTGTCAGACCTTTACAAAGTGCTGGCAACATAGGAATCCTTGGATCTACTTAGGAATCATCTATGTGAAAAGCTAACAGAATAAAGTCATTTGAAGAAATCTATTCCTCGCACGTTAGCATATTTATCCCAATACTGAAGCAAATAAAAACAATGCTATCCATTTGCTGAATTTATTTAAAACAAATCAATTTAGAAATATCATAAACAAAACTTCTGACATGTAAACATACTGCCGTGTTCCTGAAACAGATGTTAACACCCAATAAGGGTTAATAATCGTGTGTTAGGAAAGCTGTCCATTAATAAGGCCAGTCTTCAGCAAAACTAAAACCATTTTGTTTCTTTAGTTTTCCTAGACTGACAATGCAATACTGTCAAATCACAATCAAAGAGAATAAAGACACGCTGGATGGATAGATCAGTACCATTGGTTACAGCTAAACAGTTTCATTCTTGATGCCACATAAAAACAATTAAGCCAATCACATCAAATAAATCATGGCTTTTTTCTTTATCACAATTCACTAAGTGATGCTAATTATGGTCCTTGTCAAACACGTTTGGTAAAGGCTATTTACAGTGTACATGGCTGAGCATGCACTATTTATAGTTACAAAGATACCTGCCAGTTTATCACAATAGAATTACACAGTGCCTGAAATGGTGAAACAGCTCCCACAGCATTTAAATTAATAGTTTCAAGCAGGAAACATTCCTTATTTGACCATGATTGCAATAATTACAGGAAAAATCTTATAAAAACACGAATCCCCTTCAAGAAATTGATGCATATTCTACGCACTACAGGTTAAGGCAGTAAAAAATGTATTCCTGATAACTGGAGGTCTTGACAATGTCAATTAAAGCTGTCTGACTCTAGGTTTCCATTCTCCATCATATACTCAAAGTTCTGTCTGTAGAACTAGTTTGTAAAGATTTCATTTTTATAGTCAAAAAGTGTTAGTAATGAAGAGATGACACTGGAAAAAATTGCTAGGGAAAGGAAAAATGTAAGTTACATTTTGCTTGAAAGTTTTCAAATCATAAACAAGAGCATTATTTATGAGTCTCATCTTTGAAAGTATAAAACAAAGACATACAGTTTACCATTCTTAATTTAAAATATATTGTACTTTGAACAATTCAAGTAATGTAAGACTATCAAAAATAAGTTCGTAAGCCATAAGTGTCAACTGCATTTTCAATTAAGAACTTTTTAAAAATTGTAAACTAAACCATGACAGTTTAGTTAAATAAATGATAAATGACTTTTTATTTGCACTTGTGATTCCTTTAATACAAATTGCTACCAACAAATATGTAAAGATATGGCAGATTATGCATTTGATCAAAGCACTTTGATTTAAGCATAAAACAGATTCAAATGGTGTAAGTTCCGTGCATAAGGTTTGAGAAGTTGCCTACGAATTTGTAGGCAACCCTCTCTCTAATCAGAATCCTTTATTCCTCAGTTGCAGAAGAAATAGGGCACAATCTGTTGTAAACAGGGCACTGTTGTAAAACAAGGATAATATTCTTGAATTAAGAACGTTCTCATTAAATTGAAAAGACTTTCCCAAGTGTCTTCCAGCAATGTAGTATATATATTCTGCTGACCTCTTAATTTCATAAATTAACTTTCCTTTGATTCCATTTTTATGGTGGTTGTGTTCACAGTTTTGTCTTAAAAATTGGTTTAAATTTATATAAAACTCTGTACATGTTCACAAATTATTGCATAAACAGCATAATCTTCAAGACAGTGTCTGCAAACACATGTCCTATTCAGGAAAAGAAAATTCACGTTTCCCGCCTGGCTTTTTTCTTCTTTTTTATTTGTTTTGGAGATTCCCAGCTAGTTTCAGACTTGGCTGAAAGAGAAAATAAAACAAAAATTAAAACAAAACAAAAAAACAGGAGAGAGAAAAGTTAGGAGGATAGTAAATACTGTTATGTTTCAAAAATATAAAAGTAGCTCCAATGAAAACATGCTTTGAAAGCCACTAAGAATGCCTTAGATTTTATGTTTAAGTTTTCAAGTTCTAGTTACATGTTTTAGGTTATTCTATGTCTGCCTTCCTCTTTTTCTTTCAATTTCAATGTATTATTTGGTTTAACCATATGGATGACATTTTTTTTTTTTTTTTTTTACCAGTTTTGACCTAGAAAAATGATGAACAACCTGCAATTTCAAGAACGTGTGCACCCTCTGCCCTGGCCAGTGTAGCGCAGTTGGTTGGGCATCGTCCTGTGCACTGAAAGGTTGCTGGTTCAACTCCCAGTCAGGGCACATGCCCAGGTTTCAGGCTCGATCCCCAGTAGGAGCTAGGCAGGAGGCAGTCAATGATATTCCTCTCACACATCGATCATTGATGTTTCTCTCTCTTTTCCTCTCCCTACAAAAAAAAAATCAACTAAAAACTACGATCAGAAGTCTAAATATCTTAGGCTTTTAAGATAGTAACACTTATAAACAGTACAGAGAGCACACTAAAGAACCAAAAATGAGATGACTTACTTTGTGAAGGAGGCACACTATTTTGCTTAGTATTTGACTTGGATTTATCTGACTCTTGTAGCATTGGTGGCACTTGGGAAGAGCTCTTGTCAGAATCACTTTTTGATAAAATAACAGATGGCTCGGTAGAAACAGCAGGTGGAAGAGTCTTGATAGGCTATTTTGGAATACAATTATTTTAAGTTTTTTGTACGAAATTTCAAAGAAAATTAAATATAATAAGAGGCTGTTTAGCAGCAACTAAATACAAAAATGGTTTCCAGAAGCACAACTCATGCCTGCCCTCTAGTGACAAAACTGAATATATCTTTACCTACAAATACAGGTTGAGATAAAAATGAAGATTTAAAATTACAAGATGTTTATTGAATCTCAAATAGGAGTAAATAATTTTCATTAACTTTTAAATTGCATGATTTTATATTTGTTAGCAATTCAATGGTTCTGTCCACTTCCCACCAACTCAACTCAAAACCTTTTCATGTGAAAGACAAAAAGAAACTCGCTAATTTCAGAACTACCAGTAGGCGATATCCCCCTTTCTCCTTCTCAAGAGATAGGTGTATCTCAAACAGCAGCAGCAATAGCTTCAGTTTCCTACCTAAGGAAATAGATGACCTCAAGCAAAAGCTGACTATGGCTATTAGTTCTGCCAATTAAAGCAACTTAAACTCAGGTCCAAATCTTCCAAGTTTTATCCAGTTTAGTGGTGATATAATGCCTAGGGCCTAGACTCTTGAGCCTTGCTTCTCCTCTTCAACCCATGAGCAGAAAGGAGTTAAAATGATTTGCCTCACTGAAGTCAGTGAACTGTCAAAACCAGGTAATAATAGAATCTCCAATATTTGGAGTTCCCTGAGGCTTTAACAGATGAGTAAGAGATCATCTCACCCTTTAGCTTTACCTGTGATTATTTTGAATACCAGAGGCCTGGTGCACGAAATTTGTGCACAGGGGGTGGGGGTGGGTTGTATGTGTGTGTGTCTCTCAGCCTGGCCTGCACCCTCTCCAATTTGGGATCTCTCTCACGATCTGGGACCACTGGCTCCTAATGGCTCACCTGTCTGCCTGCCTGATCACCCCTAACCGCCTCTGCCTGCCTGCCTGATCGCCCCTAACCGCCTCTGCCTGCCAGCCTATTTGCTCCTAACTGCCTCTGCCTCTGCAGCTTTGTCCAGAAGGACGTCCAGAAGGTCGTTTGGTCTAATTAGCATATTATGCTTTTATTAGTATAGATAGAAACCAGGGTAAGTAATGTTTCTCCTGCCCTTTGTGCTTTCAGGCTTCTTGGGTTCAAGAAAGCACCAAGGAAAAGGAAACAAAAGGAGGGAGCTGTGTGTGCCCAGATAACTGCTGGGGTTCTTCCTATTTCAGAGATCTGAAGCAGCATTATGGTTCTGTTCAACTTTCTTAAGGTTCCCTGTATTTATTTCATACCCAATGGTTTTAATCTTTTAATCTCCTTTCCTCCTCTGTTCTCTCACTTATCTACATTAATATTCTTTACAAGATGGCTTCTGAAAATAATTTAAGCAAAACATCAGAATGTCAAATGACCCTTTGTAGTCCTATTAAACCTATGAATGTGTTGAGACTGCATCCTTTTATCTCCAAGTACTCTCAGGGAAATAAAAGCACCCAATTCAAATAGGAAGAATGGTTATGATTGTGTTTTAGAACAAGACAGTTATGAATTCTCTCTCTTAGTGGTAATCCCGGTTCTTGTCTAAAGCTGTTTCGTTAAGCAAGTAAACTCCACAAAGGCAGAGATTAGCTTTTGTTTCCTTTGTTCTCGGATGTATCCCCAGAATCGAAAACAGTGTGTGGCATATGGTACCCAATATATTTTTTTTAATGAGTAAATAAATGAACCATTCAACTCCAGTAGAATTTAATATATTTCAACATGATGCAATTCACCTAAATATAAATCAGTCTGTGTCAGTGACTTAGACCTTTTGTAAAATGGTGCCTTCTGACACATCAAAAATTTCCACAAAAGGCACATGTTTTAAGAACGTTACCAAATTTAATAAATGCTCCATTTTGAGAGGTTGGACCATAATCATATTATGTGCATGCTTTGGAAAAAATGCAACCAGTCACATTTTCTCTAAGCTATCTCTTGATCCCTGTGTGCCTAGATAGTTAATAGGAGAAAATACACACTAGCAGTTCTGATTTTGCCATTGATAGCTATGTGACTTTGGACAAGTTTACTCAACTTCTCTAACCTCATTTACAAAATGGGTCCTACCTTCTTGTGATTTTGTGAGGAATAAATTATTTTGAGCATTTTAAATACTTAGCACAATACTTCAATAAAATATTAATTATAATATAATTCTCAAGTCATTAAAATTTTACTTCTTAAATATCAAAAAATCACCTGGCTATTTTTGATGAGTGTTTCTGCTGGATCACTAGTGCTTATGGTTTTTGAAGAAAAAGCTTTTTCCTGTTTTGGACGGACTTTAGAGGTATTCACTGGAGGCTCTTCTCTAATCTCTTTTTCTAATTCTTCTGGGTCCTAGAGAGAAAAGTAGTCTATTAGATTATATAAATCACCCATTTTTACTATTTAAAATCTATTTGGTTTGTTGTACTAATGTCCAGAAGATATTCCAAAAAATAACTTTAGTTCAGAAACTGTTCATACAGCTTAAAGGAGCATATAAAAAACAATTATTCAAAAGTTTAAGTTAAGCAAGTAGCTTTGAAAGTATGTACGTTACGATTTGCAATCTGTACAAAGTTAGTGAGAAGACATGTTTGTTCTATGCTAAGCTGAACTCAACAGTAAAAAACCCACCAACCACATACCATAAACTAAAGAGAATTTTACTGAAAAAGAACAAATTTAAAAATGTATTCATTTATAGGTAGGATCATGTGCTATATACTTCATACAGAACCTCATGGATACCACATTTAAACAATAAAGAAACTAAAATTTGAAGAAAAGTCTGACTCTAAAA